AATCCTGGTAGAGATAGATAGTTTGGACAATAGACACAAAGATCAATAACGGAGTGGTAATCCTAAGGTTCTCGGCTGATGCTTCAGTTTGTCTCAACTATTAATTTCTTAGCAAATCACCTGGTTCTGCAGTTTCTAAAAGATCTCAGCAAGAGAAACATTTATTCAACAGGTTGCTTATAAGTATCATAAGACATTTTTTTGCCGATTTCACCGTCGATGTGTCCGTCCGTAAATTGGGAACAAAATTAGTAGTAGTATTTTTTCTCTATTTTCCAGTTCCCTCTGTTGCACCTGGTCAAGTTTTGGTGACTGCGAAGAGTTCCACAAGCTTGTATATTTCCTGGACTGCTGTACCCGCTCAAGAATATCGCCACGGAAAGATGTACATGCACAAGATTTATATCAGTCTGGCCACTCAGGCGAGCAGTTATATCAATTTATATTTCGCGTTTAATCCAGTCGAATACAACATTAGTAACCTTTGTGTTTACACGCTGTATGTCGTTCGTGTTTTGGCGGTGAATGAGGCAGGCGAGGGACCGAAAAGTAAAGCTGTTACCACAAGAACCTTAGAAGGCGGTGAGTTTATTCCTATCAGTAGCTAAGAGATGCATTTTAATAAATCTGTTGATTCATCAGTAACTCGCATCTGCGTTATTATTATTATATCATTATTATTATTGTATCCATTTCTCTGGTGCCCTGTGCTCCCCCAATGAATTTAAGTTTGGTTCCAGCGACTCTTGGTCCATCACGGTCGTGGAATGGAAACCAGTCCCCGAGGGATATGAGAATGGTGTGATCAAAGTATACCGGCTGGTTTATAGTCCAAAGGATTCCGGGAATTCTATGTCCGTAGCTGATGAATCAATTTATTCCGAGAATATTGCTGTACTCTCCGGATTGGACTTTGACACTTTGTACGAGTGGGTGCTTTCACAAGAGTTGGTTCTGGATATTTCTCGAGATCAATCGAATTGAGAACAAAAATGTGTAAGTGGAGCTCCATCACTTCCTTTAGCAACCCTAAAACTCCAGTTCGATCACATGGTCTAAAATTTCAAAGGCCTTGATATACTGAAGAAGGGGTGATAAACGCCAGAGGGTTTGGGTGGCTTTCTCATACGACAGATGAAGCTAGCTAGCTCACCTTTGTTTATATATTCATTGATTGATTCATCCTGTATATATTTGGTCTCAGCCACCATCCTCATTTCCAACGATCAACGTTCTTTAATTTTGTAG